ACCTTCCCTTGAAGAAGGGAGTTATCTTTCCTGAAATGTTGGCTAAGGTGTCTCCTAACTAATTGAACTGTTAGACATTGTTTTGTCTGTCTGTCTATCTCCACTCATCTCATCTCTGTTGCATCATGAGGGGGCTAGTAGATGGGATGGGGTCTATAACCAATAAACAGGAGATAAGCTTGGAGTTAATGCCCCAGCCTAGTCAACAGCCTGACTGACCTCATGTGAGATGCTGAGTTGGGAGGTCTACCTTTACAACCTGAACTTGAATTTCTGACCTTCAGAAATTGTGTGACATGGTAAATGTTGATGGTTTAAGCTGTTAAATTTGGGGGCATTTTTTATTCAAAAGCAGATATCTGCTACATTTCTCTCACCCTGAAAACCTTATCTCTCCACAAAGCCAACCTACAGTTTTCTTTTTTTTAAGGTTTATTTTTATGTGCATTGGAGTTTTGTCTGCATGTAAGTCTGTGTGAGGGTGTCAGGTCCCCTGGACCTGGAGTTACAGACAGTTGTGATCTGCCAAGTGGGTGCTGGGAAGTTAACCCGGGTCCTCTGGAAGAGCAGCCAGTACTCTTAACCCCTGAGCCACCTCTCCAGCCCTATTTCTTTTTGAATAAATAAATAAATTAGCTGGATGTGATGGCACGTGCTCTTAATCCCTTTCCTTGAGAAGCAGAGGCAGAGACCTCTGAGTTAAGGCCAGCTTGGTCTATATAGCAAGTTCCAGGACAGTCAGAGTAACATAGAAAGACCCTTTCTCAAAAAGTTATTTTTTAATTATGTGTCTTTGTGTGAGTATGTGCACATGTGTGTACGTGTTCATGGAGGCCACAGACTTCAGATCCTCTGGAGCTAGAGTCACAGGTATTGTGATCCCCATGAAATGGATGCTGGGAGTCATACTCAAATCCTCTAGAAGAGCAGCAAGTACTCTTAACTGGTCCATCTCCCCAGCCCCCATTTTTGCTTGTTTTGCAGTAGGGCTGGTATCCCAGACTTCCAACTATATAGCCAAGACTGGCCTTGACACTCCTGGTCCTTCTGCCTTCTCTCCAGAATTACAGGTATGAACTAACACACCTGGCTCTCAACCCATACCTTTCCTACCTGAGTAGCTCGAATCACTTACATTGTAGGTGCCAAAGAAATGGCTCAGTGGGTAAAGTGCTTGTCACCAAGCCTGATAATCTGAGTTTGATACACTGGAACTCACATGGTAGGAGGAGAGAACCAAACCCTGAACATGTGTGTTTGAAAATAGAAAAAGAGTTTTAGGAGGTACAGATGGCATATTATGGCAATCAAAGCAATCAATCCAGAGGGCATTCAGAGGATTTTGAGTTTAGGGCTGGCAAGGACTACAAAGTGAGACCTTTTCTCAAAATAATATTTTTTTTCTTTGCCTAGAGACAGGGTCTCACTGGGCAGCCCTGGCTGACCTGGAACTCTCTATGTCGATCAGGTTGGCCATGATCTCACAGAGATCTGCCTGCCTCTGCTTCACTAAGTTAAGGGCCCCATTTCCCTCCTGCTCCAGGAGCCAGAGGAGGATGTGCTGCTGGTAAGGGCCTTTGCAGAGCACAGGCTGGTTCAAGCTCCTGGGCTTGATCTCCACATTAGGTAAACTGCTATATCTAAGACTTTCCCCACCTCTATTTTCCCCCACCAGCTTTGTTTCCCTTCATCTCCTTTTCACATATTTTTTTTTTTAAATATGGGGTCTTGAGTAGCCTATGATGGCTGGAATTCGCTATATTGAGAAGGAAGACCTTGGACCTCTGACCTGCCTCCACCTTCTTAGTGCTTGGATTACAAGCACAAACCAACACACCTAATTTCTGTGGTGCTGGGGAATCAAATCTTGGGCCTTATGCATGCTAGGCAAAGACTCTTACCAACCAAATTACATTCCTACCCCTCCTTCTGCAATTTTTAAATTTTAATCACAACTTATTAAAAGTAATAATAGTCAATATGTCCCTAGAACTCAGGAGCACCGAAAGCAGGTTACTATAATTAGCCTACTTTCACAGGTGACAAACCAAGGCACAAGGGTTAAAACAATTGTCCGAGGTCACAAGAGGCAGAAAGAGGCTAACGAAGCTTGGGCTGCCAGGTCAGTACCTCAATTATAAACTCTTCCAAGACTATACGCTTACTTACTTAATTGCCTATTCGTATTTTGTAATCCTTTCCTTAAAGAGAGCAACAAAATCTGGATGTGGCTGCAGAGGTAACAGATGCCAGTGTGCAGTTTTCTTGTAAGTATTTAAAAATACATTTACATATGCAAACGTATCCGCAGGGTTTGGCGGGCACCCAGCTTTTCAGCATACCGTCCTGACTGCCTTTTTGAACAGTGGTATCGAGTGCAGCAAAGATAGTGCCTTTATTTACCCACTTTCCACAAGTTGAACCTTCTCTGCCCTCCCTCTGTCATCTGTCCCCTTCCGAAGGCTCCTACCCATTTATCACGCTTTCTCCTTTGGCCTTCTTCCCAACCTGGTTTCTTCTTTCACACTACCCTTTCCCCTTTATCCTCGCTTCCTTCCAGCCTCCCGCGTTTCTCCCCCCTCTCTAACACCACGGTTTCTTCACGGTCCAACCGATTTCCTCAGCTCACCGCCCCTCTGCTGGTTCCCGGCCTTCGGCTTCCCGGCAACGCGCAGTCCCCTCATCCTTCCACCACCGCCCGCCACACACCCCCACCGCTCCCCCCTCCCCAGGCCGGGAGGGAGCGCACAGCCGGCGGGCGACGGAGCAAGCTGACAGTGTAATGAATGGCTTCAGCTGTAATTAGCGACCCCGCGGCTAATCACGATGTGCATTTACATTTTAAGTGCTGCAGAGGGAGCGGGAAAGGAAGCGACGCGCGGGCGGGGAACCGGGCCTTTTCTGTGTTCTCCCTCTACAGACTCCGGACTAAAGTGAATGGGGGAGTCTATGGCAGAGGGTAGTGGTGGTACTGGAAGTGGGTGGCGGTGTAAAGACCAGCTTGCCAGCCTGGTTGGAGGCACAACCGCCTGCCCCTCACTGGAACAAACCCGCAGCTCCCAGGTCCCTGCCCACATCCAAGTTGTTTTAGCCCAGGCTTGAAGACTCCCGGGGACACAGAGCTGCTTTCCAACCAGCCCAATCCTTCACAGCTTCTAGTCTTTCTGGAACTTTTTCTCAGGCCAATCCGAAACCGCCCGTCTTTGAAAGCAGGCTGCACAACCACCGAGAGCAAGCCTGTAAGCGCAGTTCTTTTGTGGTTTCTGATTCAATTCCCAGTTTCGGGTTCCTGCCTTGATTTCGTGGCCCCCGTACACTGCAGTCTTGGTGTCTTCCCAAGGCGGTGCCTCCCGAACCTGCTTCTCCCTGTGAAGCCTGCAAGATCTGAGACCAGGCCAGAGATCCAGTTCCGGGCACAGTCCTAGGGTATGATCAAGAGATTAGAGTCAGTCACTCACGCTTGATGAGAAAAGGGTCCAGGTGCTGCAGACACCCTCCAAAAAGAGATGAGGAACCTGGTGTTCTGAGCTGCGAGGGGCCGAGAACTGTCACCGATAGCTAAGAGTTAGAGGAGGGCCAGGCAGCCCTCACCTAGACTGAAGCTGTGCCCATCCAGGTACCGTCTTGCTCACAATACCCTCGGGGTCACCTGCTCCCTACAGCCTTCGGTGCTTCTTCCTTGCCCTCGCTTTAGCAGGTCTGTCAGGCTCCCTGCATTCTGTGAAAGCCAGGCTGGAGACTGAAGGACATGCATGGTCCCTCCCTCACTCCTTATGAAAGATTCTTCCTCCCACCAGTCCTTCGTCCCTAGCCGTGTCTTTCTATTGTTCATCTCACCTCGCAGCAGAGCCCGAGCCTCTCCTTATGCTCGATGGAGTTTCCAGAGGTTACCCCAAATCCCAAAATCCGCCCCCAAGGCTTCAACTCCACCCCGCTTCCCATCTCTCAAAACCTCTCAGTCCCTTTCAGCAAAAACAGCCCTCTGGATTGCTAGGAGCCAAGACTGATTCCTCATGGGTTTGGAAGTGATAAATCCGTGTCGGCAGGGACTGAGCCAGGCAGATAAGAATGCGTGCAGCTCTAGTAAAGGACCTTCAGGCATGAATACATACAACAACGTTAACGCCTTGGAAGAAATGGTCTCGTTTTCTTCCCATTCACTTTAGGCTGGCCCTGCGCATCACTTCCTGCATTTCAGGGGTGTGAGGGTACCAGGAGCCTGGAGGTCTGGCTAAGAAGAGCGAGGCTGAAACCTAGATAGATCTCTCTAAGCAGCTAGGCAAGGACCATGCTGCGACGTAGCGGTCCGAATCCTAGGAAGGCGCAACGTGTAGCGGAGCCAACTCCTCTCACACCCTGCTGACCATGCACTGGCTGTCCTTGAGGCAAGAATACTAAGGAGAGAGAGGGGGGGTCTCTGGAGGGTTGGAGGAGTGAGGCCCCGGGAGATGGTTCGGAAATCTCTTACCTAGGAGGGGGTCTAGGGATGCCCTTGAGCTGGAACCCCCAAGGCTCGGGAACCGGGTTTGAATCGGCGTCTGTACCTCAAGCATGGTTTTTTATTTAGGTTGCTCCTACGTGAGGACTGGTTCAGGGAGGACCGATGGTTACTTCGGGAAACTTCGCCTCCCAAGTCACCCCTGGCGCTGTGACCCCAGCCGCTGAGCACTAGCGCTTGATCCCAAAGGCTGGCTGGGCTGGGACTCGGACAAGTCACGCAGAGTTGGGGCGGGGCCTGGACGAAGGGGCGGGGCCTCTCGGGCTCCCAGGCGGAGCTTCTGCTAAAGGCGCGGAGCACAAGGCGCCGAGGGCTCAGAGTAGAGCAGCACCACCCGGTAGGAATCTGGGCTGGAGACTGCGTGTCCACAGCCCACCCTCAGCTTCCACTCGGTGCCGGCATCCCAACCCCTACCGGCCGTCGCCCGGCGCGACCCCGGCCATGCAGCCCCGGGCTTGAAGCGACCCCATGGCAAAACCTGCGATCCCAGCGACGACGGCGCATGGAGAACTTCCGTAAGGTGCGCTCGGAGGAGGCGCCGGCGGGGGACGGTGATGAGGGTGGCAGCCTGAACTCTGGCCCTTTCGCAGACCTGGCGCCCGGTGCTGTACACATGCGGGTCAAGGAGGGCAGCAAGATCCGCAACCTGCTGGCCTTTGCCACCGCCAGCATGGCGCAGCCAGCCACGCGCGCCATCGTCTTCAGCGGCTGCGGCCGGGCCACCACCAAAACCGTCACGTGCGTCGAGATCCTCAAGCGCCGCCTGGCGGGCTTACACCAGGTCACGCGGCTGCGCTACCGGAGCGTGCGCGAGGTGTGGCAGAGCCTCCCGCCTGGGCCCACGCGGGGTCAGACGCCTGACGATCCGGCCGCCAGTCTCAGTGTACTTAAGAATGTACCGAGCCTGGCCATCCTACTTTCAAAGGACGCATTGGATCCACTACAACTCGGCTACCAGCCTCCGAACCTCAATCCTGGTCCTTCGTCCACTCCTACGGTGTCGACGTCCAAGAGGAGCCTGGGGGAATCTGCTGCTGGAGAAAGCACCGCTAAACGGTCTCAGCCTGAGCCAGGGGCTGAGAATGAGGACTCGACCGCCTGAGAACTCCTGGCTCTGAGCCACCTCAACACTCCCACATCCTCGTGCACTTTCATACCAAGGTTTTAAGGGGCCCATGTTCCTGGACTGGAAGATTGACAGCAGGGATCCCAAGGCGACCAGAGAGGGAGCTCAGGAATGATAAGAGGATCCCCTGAAGTCCAAGAAAACTTTGTGGGAAGTGTTGCCAGAAGCCACAGAACTCCACCCCCACTTTTTCTAGGCCATCCTGGGATCTTTTTTAGTGAAGCATGGTGGATAGTGAAGACTCTTGAGCCTTCTTGGGGACCCAGACTTTAAAAGCACCCAGAATGCGCAAAAACTGACAGTTGAGGGTCTTGAAATCATTCTTGCTGTTTGTTGACTGAGGGCCGGGGCTGCGACGTAGATTCCTTGAGGGTGGCCAAGTTGAAAATGTTAGGACCCTATTCTGCCCACTCACCGCCTGGCAATTCCCCTTTTTAGCTTTTCTTCCTCTTAGCATCCCCCCCCCCCTTTTGCATGGTGGTGGATAGGAGACCCAGGACAAAACTTTCCACGCCTCCTCCCCTGAGTCCTACTGCTGGAGTCTTGCTTCCAATAAAACAAACATGAAAATGGCTCTGTCCCCAGAATTGTTTTTTGTTTTTTCCTTACCTACCCGCCTGTGCAGAGACACTTTGGCATGCTTGCCTTCAACCTTATTAGCCTTTGGAGTGTTCAAGGTCAGACACAGCAACCGGGCAGCCTCAAAATGTTGCATGAGGGACTCGTGGTGGAGCGGGTGGAGGTCTGTGTCCCTGTTGCATCCTTACAAAGTGAAAGGAAGCAGTATTGCTGCTTTTCTGAGAGAGGAAGGAGGGAGAGCATTGGTGAGCCGAAGGAGGCAGCCTGCCAAGGCTGGCAGACCATGCTAAGGTTCTAACCTTGTACCCTCCTCCCGGTAGACATCCTTACCCAGAAGGCAGGCATAAAGCCCCATGAGTAGGAGCTCCCCTTCACTGCCCTCTCTCTGCAAAAGGACAGCACACCCTTGGGAGAGGGGGAGGAGAGAGACAGCACAAATCCACTGCTAGAAATTACTATTCAGCAGAGAAGCCTGGTCTGTGAATCACTGCAGGCTCCCTGATAAGCTGCTGCCTCCAGCCCTGCACAGCTGTGTGTTGAGAGATAACGGCCTCAGATGCCTCTCTGCCCAAGTCCAAGCTGGTGGGGTGGGGGTGGGGGTATGCCGTGTGCTGGAAGTCAGATGGGGAGCTGTTCAGCATATAGCTCAGGCTCTTCAGAGCAGATGCCACCCCATGACACTCAGCACCTCTGGAAAGGAGACTTACATTTGTAAGTCACTTTGCTTGCAGATCTTTGAACTAAATCCTACTGGTGAGGAGGCTGTTTTCTGCCGCTGATGGAGGGGCTCCTTGAGGAGGCCCCTTTTCTCCTTCCAATATCTCTGCTTCTGCTTTGGATCACCAAGTCCTGCCATCCAGACTGTCATTCATTGTACTCTACCCTCCCCCTGACCTATTTATTTTTAGAGATGGTCTTGCCATGTAGTACAGGCTGGCCAGAAACTGATCCTCCTGTACCAGCCTCCCAATTGCTGGGATTACAGGTGTGCATCTTGTCCAGCTCAATTTCTTGTTCTTGAGGACTCTCTATGGAGAGCCAAGGGATTTAGATGTGTTTGTTAGCCCCTCTCAGAGATGGAGCAAGAGATTTGGAAAGAATGGAAAACTGGGCTGAAGATGTAACTCATTTGGTAGAGTATTTGCCTAATGTGTATAAAGTCTCGTGTTGACCTCCAGCACCGCATAAGCTTGCCATGGTGGCATATGCCTGTAATACCAGAACTCTGGATGTGAAGACAGGAGTATGTATCAAAAGTTCAAGGTCGCTGGGCAATGGTGGTGAATGCCTTTAATCCCAGCACTCCCGAGGCAGAGGCATGTGAATTCAAGGCCAGCCTGGTCTACGGAGCAAGTTCCAGGACTGGCTCCATAGCTCCTAGGAAAACCTGTCTCGAACCCCCACACACAGAAAAAAAAAAAGTTCAAAATCATCCTTGGCTACATATAGTGTTTGAGGCCAGCCTGGACAAAGTGTCTCAGAAAACAATAAAATATCCAGACAATAGGACTACTAGGCTTCCAAAGCTAAAGAAAAAGATAAGATTTAGAAGTCCTGAATGCTAGAAGCCCATAGAAGACTTGTCTAGATCACTATCCTGATTCCAGGACTATGCAAGCAGAGGCTGCTAGGCTTGTCAGGAAGACAAGGCTCTGGAGGCTCTTTGGATGGGCCAGGTGAGTCTCCTTCCAGCCTAGAATCACATCCTGGGATGGGGAAGAAAGACACGCTTCTTCTAGCTTCAGTTAACCTGCTCCCTTGAGAGAAAACAAGCCACGAATGGCTTTCTTTTCTTCATCCCCACCCAAACCCAGCATGTTTGATGCCCAGGCTTTTCATGGATGTGTTAACTCATCAGTTGACTCACACCCACGGGCACCCCACTTCTGCCTTGTTGATCCTCTGGCCCAGCTGTCCCTGAGCAGTTTCCAAAGGAAGGACACAAGTCTCTGTACCTCCTCCCTCCCCCTCTCATAGGCTGAAGTGGGAACTTGAGAGGTACTGGCTTAAGGAGAGGGCATGGATGGAACACCTCAGAGGTAGTGTCCACTTGAGGAAGGGACTGGTGGTAAAGTGGGAGAAAGAGGAAATCTCTCTTGTAAGACCTCCATCTTTCCAGTATTGGCCTATTTATAGATTTGTACATGGAAACAAGCCTCCTGTCTTATGGTTTCCATGGCTGTGAAGAGATACCATGACCATGGCAACTTTCATAAAGAAAACATTTAATTGGGGTGGCTCAGAGGTTCAGTCCATTATAACCATGATGGGGAGCATGGCCAGTGCTCAGGCAATTGTGGCGCTGGAGCTAAGAGTGCTACATCTTGCAGGCAACAGGAAGTCACCTGACGATAACACTGAGGGAAACTTGAGCAAAAGAGACCTCAAAGCCCTCCCCCACAGTGACACACTTACTCCAACAAAGCCACACCTCCTCATAGTGCCACTCCCCTTGGGGGCTGTTTTTTCTTTTTTCAAACCACCACACATCTACTCACTCTATATAGGGTACCAGAGACGACCATTAAGATGAGTGCATCCAAGTCTAGCTTGGTTTATTGGGTTTACTTACAGAACATGGGTGTGGGGTTACTTACAGGAATGTGGGTATGCCCAAGCAGCCACATCACTGCAAAGTCTCATCCCAGCATAGATGACAACCTTTCCATAGCCGCACACATGATGTTTCCCTCCAGTTAACCGTATACATGCTATACAATCTAGGACCTGCTAAGACCATGGAAACCATGTGCAACTGGGAGCAGGGTTGCATACCCTGGGAGTGAGATGCAGGAGGGAGGGCGTAGCATCTCAAGTGAAGGATCTGGGACCAATTCCCAGCCCTCCCTCTGTGAGGGAGTGTCAACAAGCATAATCAGAAGGGTCACTGATACGCTTCTGATGATGATGGCGTGGTAGCTATGGTTGGGGGACAGTGTTTCCCTGAGCCAGGTGCTTGTCTCCATCCCTGTGATACTCACGTCACAAAATCAAAATCCATTTGGGGACAAAAAAGTATGTAAATAAATACATGGTCAGATGGGTGGTGGGCTTCGAATTAGGCTTCTATTCACTGCACACACTTCCATTGTTTTGTTGTGTCAACTTTCAGGTGCAAGGTGTGGCTAGGAGTTAGAATCACAGAATAAGCTGACATTTCTTCAGCAACGCCCACAAAGAAAAACCAAACCAAAACAACAACAAAGAAAAGTAACTTATGACCAATTTTGTTTATATATGCCTGTAATGCCAGCTCTCAGGAGACAGAGGAAGACATTTGGGGAATTCAAGGCTAACTTAACCTACACAGTGAGTATGAGGCCAGCCTGGGCTACATGGTAGGAACCTGTCTTAGAAAAAAAAAAAAGGGAGGTGGGTAAATAAAAATATAGTGATGTATATATACAAGCAGGTAACAATAAAACCTACTATGTTGGCAGGTTAATGGTGGTGCATGCCTTCAAATCCAGCACTTGGGAGGCACAGGCACTCAGATGTCTGTGAGTTCAAGACCAGCCTAGTCTACAAAGTGAATTCCAGGGCAGCCAGAGCTGTTACACAGAGAAACCCTATCTTGAAGGGGAACAAAACAAAACAAAACAAACAACAACAACAACAAACCTATTATGCTGTAGACTAGCAAAAAAATTAAAATATTTTTAAATGAAAAAGTGAGTTATAATGGAGGAGAATGTGGGAATTCTGGGAAGGGATATTTGATTCTCCTGGAGGTACTAATGGAGTCAGATATCCAAGGGTCAGGAGGAAGCCAGATGAAATAGCAATTTAAGCAGAGCACAGATAGGTGCTGCTGCCTATTCTGTTGGAACTGCTGTGTGACAAGGGTACAGTGTGACTGGCAGGATGTAGATAGGTAGGCAGAACTGGAGTAGTAGCTAGCAACCAGGTCCCAGGGAAGTTGGGATGGGGACACTAGAGGCCAGGGACTTCCCCAGTCTGGCTAGTATTTGGAAATATCCCTCTAATATTTGTTAGGTAGGAAGTGAGTTAAAAAGAGCAGTTAGATCTTGAAAGCTACAGGTAGGTAGGAGTTGAGACTCTCTGGTCATGGGGATGGAGATAGGAGTGTATCTTAGAGCTACCAAGCTAAGTAGTCATTATCATTCCAGCCAGGAAAAAGAAGGCCTTCTGAGCATTTGTCCTGGTTTGCCCTTCTGGGATTTCAGGAGTGACACTTTTTAAGAATCAAACAGTGAAGGGCAGGAGGTGTGGTTTCATAAGCTTCAGGAGCTGCCATGCCTTGGCTATGAATCTGCCAAGGCGTATTCTCTGTCTCGCTAGACAAGATGTGCCAGACATGCTTACCTTCATCCTTTGCCCTCTGTTTCCTAACCGCGTTACTAGGCCCAGTTTTTGTCATTATTCTAACCAACAGGGGAAATCTATTTATTTCACCTAGATGTTAGAGTACATAGTTATCAGAGAGGAGTAACTGAAGAAAGAGAGGATAGGAGACAGAGCTCAAAAGGTGGGTCAGGGGTTAAATGTGCTCACTGCTCTTGCAGAGGAACCCACAAGGCAGGTGACAAAGGTCTGTAACTCCATCTCAAAGGGATCTGAT